GAGAGAGGTTTATATAGATAGAGGTTTTAGTGGGTATTAAGTGAGAGTTATGATTAGGTAGAAGATGGAAGAGTGTAATTACTTTGAGTCAACAAGAAGAAGATGTTTCTAAGGATAGTGGTTGAGATATTTAAAATACACATGTATCACTCATAATAAGCACTTAAAACACATTTAACCAAAATTTGACCAAATTTTCGTTTCTGGTTTTTTGAAAAATTAACACATTAAAAAATTAAATCAGAATTGAAAAACTAACAGTGTTAATCGGTTAACCCTGGGGATTAATCGATTAACACACGCGAAATTTCAGAAAAATGCTTTAAAATAGAAAGTAAACAGGTTGGAAAACATATATTCTACACACAATAACATATGAAAAGTTTAGATGTCACCTTCATCGAGATTTCTGAGTTCTCGTCGAATCTTAAAGAATGGTTCTTTTGTGAATGGCTTTGTGAATATGTCAGCGAGTTGGTTATGCGTATCCACAAATGTGACTTCGACATCCCCTTTAAGCACGTGATCACAGAGAAAATGATGCCGAATGTCAATGTGTTTGGTTCTTGAGTGCATGACCGGATTCTTTGTGATGTTAATCGCACTTGTGTTGTCGCACCGGAGAGGAATACATCCAAGATCAATTCCGTAGTCGCTTAATTGTTGCTTCAGCTAAAGGTTTTGTGCACAACAGCTTCCCGTCGCTATGTATTCTGCTTCAGCCGTACTAAGAGCAACACATGCTTGTTTCTTACATGACCACGAAACCAATGCATTTCTAAGGATGTGACAGGTTCCACTTGTACTTTTTCGATCAGTTTTACATCCCGCATAATCCGCATTAGAATAACCAATTAATGTACAAACACTACCTTTCGGATACCATAGGCCGACGTTCGATGTTCCCTTGAGATATTTCATGATCCTTTTGTCATACCCCAAATTTGTCCTACTTCGGCATTTAATGAACGTCTTACTGCCACACGACCTCTAGCCATGATTCCCTAAGGCTTCGTTTATAAAGACCATGTGTGTACACATTATGGTTATAATCCCTAGCCATTTATGATGAAGAGCGTGCCCCCAGCCTTTATATTCCAAATTCATATGTGTCCTCGTTATCACGATTAGGTATATATGATATGGACAATGGCATAAAATACATGATTGGATCTATCTCACAATATAATGGTTGGATTTCAAGAAAATTTACATCCTATTTCAACTTGGTTACGAATTTCTCTAAAGGTTGTGTGAGCCTCACTACAAGTTGCTTGTGCAAGTTGCTTGTTATAGTATGCACCTGATCCAAGTTGTTCAAAGGTACTTGCTTCTGGATACGGTCAATCTAACCTCAAGCTTTGGTCAAATTGAGCATAAGCATCCAACTATGTTTGGTTTCTAAGTCAGTTTGTGACAAACTTAGATTTAACTTGCAAATTTCAAGTCATAATTAAATTAGAATTTTGATGCAATCAGTCCCGAAGATATCTCAATTCATTCCTAAGAATTATGGTATAATGCATCTCCATTAGTTTCAAGGCCATGTTGGAAGTCCATTCTTCAAACCTCATTATAATTTACTTCAAACTACATACTACGAGGGGATGAGAGTAACTCATGACTTGCTTGGTTTTAAGATGCTTCAAAATAATCAAATTTGTTTCAAAAAAAAATGCTAAATTTTGAGCAATGCTATAGTTCCGAGTCACGGTAAAACACGCTTGGAAGTTTTGGCAAATCATGATTGTTTGTGACGGTCTAAGCATAATGTTTGTTGTTGCACTCATAAACCGTGCAACAATGATACTAACTTTGTATTTGCGAGTTGTCTCTATACAAGTCAAAAGTAATTTGAGATTTCACATACAAATTTCACTCCACCAAACATTCAAAACACAAGAGGCTGTTTATACATTTTCAAATAAATAATAAGTCGGTGGGATACAATACGCAAATGGAACTGAGGAACAGCCTGGCTTGATACCGCTAGCAATGACAAATATCATTTATATTTGTCTAAACACGGGAAGCACAACACATCTATCATACTATGAAGTCTACATGGACCGATGTTACGACCTCTTAGAGTTAAAAGCAACTGAGATTTCAGTTTTGGATGACCAAGATGGTCAAACTCATCTTAGGGGACTGTCTCAAGTTCCTGTACACACAATGTCTGAATTTCTAGATGTTTTTGCCAGTGGTGTTCAGAGGCGCAAAGTTGCACATACAGGCCTCAATGATGTATCCAGTAGGAGTCATGGAGTGTTTGTGATATCTGTAGTGTCTCCTCCGGATGAGATAGGAAGATCTGTATGTGGAAATTTGAAACTTATCGACTTGGCGGGTAATGAAGATAACAGAAGAAGCTGCAATGAAAGGGATGCATCTTCAAGAGAGCGATAAGATAAATCAGTCCTTGTTTGCACTCTCGAACGTGATATATGTGTTGAACAACAACCAACCAAGAATACCCTATAGAGAAAGCAAATTGACCCGTATATTACAAGGCTCTCTAGGCGGAACGAGTCGTGCGCTGATGGTTGCTTGCCTGAATCCAGGAGAATACCAAGAATCTGTTAATACTGTTGGTTCGGCTGCTCGATCAAGGCATGTCTCTAATTTTATACCTTTAGCTCATAGACTTGAGACGCCAAAAGCTAATGTTGACATGGAAGCCAAATTGAGATCTTGGCTAGAATCAAAAGGGAAGACAAAGACCTCACAGCAAAGACTTAGGTCATTTAAATCTCCAATTCTGAAAAGAACTCCGAGTTCCGTCATGACCTCTGCTAAGTTATACTAAACTAATTCCATGGTTGTCTCTTTGAGAGATTCACACCAAAATGCCGCTTTCAAATCTTTTTCAAGGCCCCGACGTCTTCGTCGCACCATCTACAAAAGGTTCAATTATTCGTGTGCCAAAGTTTCATATGCAATAGAACAGCTTTCTGCACGTGTTGATTAAGCCAGAGCTCACTCCGATTGCTGTTGAAGCTCCTCCAAGTCTCTACCACGGTCATGCGAAGGCATTAAACAGATTGCACTAAAATGTACACAAAAATAAAAATGTGTCAGAGATCAGGATATGAAAGAAACAGGAGAACAATGTTCAAGAAATAAAAATGTATCATCCAAGATCAAGCATCACAGAGAGATTTAAAATCATTGGAAGTCATGCATACCGTTTGTGGGCAGTTTGGATTGAAGGTCCACTAGGATTTGGTTTGCTGTTAAGCTGTCGTATAACGCAAGCATCCCAGTTATATTTTTCAAGAGGCATCTACCACAGATCAGCTCATTCTTTTAATTCCGCTTATTCTATTTTCTAGGATTGTTGGTGTTGCAGTTATCCCTTTAAAAAAGCCTCTTAACAATCGTTGCCGCATGTCAATTCAGTAGGCCATACCAGTTGTCTATCTTTGTTTATTGTATGTTGCGGCTTTGGTTGGTGTTACGGCTGCTATTCATCATAAAGAGTTCGGGTTTGATGAACTCAGGGACCTCAGGTGAAGAATGCTTGTGTCAAACCCATGCTATGCCAAGCCTCCCATAAGCATACATGAATAAGAAATGAAAGTGGTTAGTACGACAAAAAGATCATATACGATTTCAAACGAAAATTGAAACTATGCTCGAATCTTAATCCAGTTCTAAGAATCATTCCACAATATGAACAAATCTGGGATTGTAAAAAGCTTGTAAGAAAACCAACAACTACCTTCAAAACTCAGGGTAAAAACAAAATTAATTCTCCTCCTCTTCGAATTCGCACATAATTGGTGTTGTGAAGCTATGGCAATTAGATGAAGTTGTTATGGTTTCTTATTATGACCTAAGGGCAGCACAAAACGCAATGAAATCACTTCATAATAGGTCATTGAATTCTAGGAAACTGGATATACATTATTCAATTCCAAAGGGAAATGCTTCACAGAAGGATATTGGCCATGGCACACTGATGATATCTGGTCCTGATCCATCTGTTTTAAAAGATGAACTAAAACATATTTTTGGGCTTTATGGAGAAATCAAAGAAATATATGAATACTTAGAAATGAATCATATCAAATATATTGAATTTTATGATGTTCGAGGTGCAGAAGTTTCTCTCCGTTCATTAAATGGGATCTGCATTGCTGGGAAGCACATCAAGCTTGAACCTGGCCATCCGAAGATTGCAACATGTATGATGCAGCCGTCTCAAAAGAGACCAGATGAACCTGATTTTGGTCATAATCTCAATGACATCCTATTCTTAAGACAAAAGGGAGTGTCTTCTGGAGTTATTGCATCTGGTGGAAGCTTGGAAAATGGATATAATCAAAGATTCCATTCTGCATCACAGCTGCCTTTGAATACTTTCATTGATGACACAATTTTTCACAGTATTTCCAACAACACAAGAGGGGCATCTACTGTTCCGAGATTCCACCCTCATTCTTTGCCCGAGTATTGTGATGGCTTGGCTAATGGTAGTCCTTACAATTTGTCAAACACCATTAAAATGGCTGCCAATATTGGAACTGGATCCACAGAAGCGTCTGATGGCAGGCACATTCAGGGAATGAGCTCAACTGGGAACTTAGCAGATTTTAATGCAGGAGGAAATGGGAGCCTTCCACATCACCAGATTTATCATATGTGGAATGGCTCAAACTTGCGTCAACAATCTCCATCAAATGCAGTGGCTTGGCAGAAAGCACCATCTTTTGTTAATGGTGCTTGTGCTCCAGGTCTTCCACAGATGCCCAGTTTTATAAGGACACCGCCTCATGTTCTGAGAGCATCACATATAGATCACCATGTTGGATCACACTCTTCCTTGCATCTTTGTCAGTGTAGCATGTTCTCCCGCGAATACTTCCAATTTCATTTATCCATCTCCAAAACCTGTGGAAAAGGAAGATAGACAATATTTGGTTAGTCATAGCGGTACATACACGAGTTAATGAAACATAAAAAAAGGGATCACATAACCACATCGCCAAGCATAAATGACGAAGATGAAAGCCATGGCTAAAGATCTTCAACCTTTGCTGGCTGATGTCCGCGATAGTGGTCTGTTGAAGGAAGTTGAGAATTTAACTCGAAGCCTTACACAAGCTTCTGATGATTTGAGAATGGCACATTCATCAATTATGACCCCTGAGAACATTGAACTGATCCAAAAGTCCATATACACTCTCATATTCACCCTGAAAAACATTGAGAATGTTAGCTCTGATATTTTGGGCTTCACCGGTGATGAAGCTACAAGAAAGAATTTGAAGCTACTAATTAAGTCTCTCAGTAGGTTATTATGAAGTCAAATTCCAATCATAGTTGGGCATAATACAAATAGTTTATTTCCAATGTTTTTTCATCAATCACAACATTGAAGGGGAAAACAATTACCTCATAGTTGATTCTAAGCTCTGGTATTTCCAATGGTTCTTGCACGGTGTCATGATAAAAATGTATCTTTCCTGAGCATATCCTTGTTTTACTGTTTAACTTGTGGTAACTGTTAATAGTTGTCACTTTTTAGTACTCTTTTCAAGAAGCACAGTAACGGTGTTTCTTGAATTCCATTCTTGGACTCTTCATGGCTCTCACACAGTTAAACAACTCCACTTGCTCAAAAACACAACTCAGAGCCGGATTCAATATTTGCGATGCTTCGACTACCACTTCATCCACGAGATTGTCTCCATCATCCTCAAGCTACACCAACATATTGTCACTAGCTCGTCCAAACCTGGTCACAAGGAGCCTATCAGTTCTAAAGCCAAAGCGTGAAGTAGCGAACGTATTGTACTCTGCAAGAAACAGCAATCAACATTAAGACTTTTGGAGATATTTTGATTATAGCAGCAAAGGATGAGAAGTTGCACATCAGTAATATTTTACACGGTAAAAAAGGGATCCCAAGAATTTACACAGTAAAAAATAGGGTAAAAAGCATTTTTTTTTAATTCACTACAGACAAACACAGAGGTCACTATCAAGTCTCAGAAAAGCAGAAATCATGGTATTACCTCCTAACAGAATCGTACTACCCCAAATGCTCCTCATTGTCCTACCTCACACGGATCAAGCCCTCCCTTCAGCAAAAATTCAAATTCTCACACGTATCAAAAACCCTAAAAACCCTCCTATAAATATGGTCCTATTCATTGGCAAGAACACACAAGAAAAAACTTAAAGAAACTCTGTCAAAATAGACCCCCAACCCCCATTAATCACTAGAGCTCAAAAATTACTCAGGTTCAACATTAGAACCTGAGCTTACTCTGAGCTAGACCAAAACACGCAAGTTTCGAAAGGAAGAGAAAAGGAACAAGGGACTCGAAGCAAAGAAAGGAAATCACTCACCGTATCACCGATACACCCAAATCGGTAAAATCTGCATCGCCTTTAACTTGTTTTCTTCGCTTTTGATATCCTTACACCGTCTCCATGAGTCATCTATAATGCTTGGTGATTACTCGCTCGCTGTGTAATTTCCGCGTGAGATTGCGGGGTAGAGTTAGGGTTCGTGGTTTGATTTAGGAATAGGGTTAAGAAAAGGGATTAGGTTTGCGTTTTAGAAGAAGATTTAGGGTTATGGTCAGAGTAGATGTTTAGTTTGAAGATGAGAGGAAAATGAAAGGGGTTGGTATCAACGGTGAGAAGAGAAAATGTTGGTAGAAGCTCGGTTGAGTTTCGAGGGAGAGAGAGAGATGTGAGCGTAGGGATTTGGAGAGGATAGGTTAGAAGAAGGTTAATTTTTGCTTTTCCATTTAATGTTAGACTGATCCTTTAATTAGGACTTAATGAAATTTGATAAGGGTTTATTTTAAAAAACTAATTACTAGTAACCTTAGTAAAATTATTATTAATATTATTAGATTTTTATATTTAATATTGGTTTTGCAACTTGATTTTATTTAAATTTTATTTAGATTTTTATCAAATTTATTTCTTTTTCTTTCATTAGGTCCAAAATATTTTATTATTAGTATAAAACAAATAAAAATTTCTTTTCAAATTTATATGAAAGTAGTGAATCCTTGGAGTCTAAGCACTCCTTGGATCCTTAAGCGACCGCTCTCGAGGTGCACACCTTGAGTTGTGGTCGCTTCGTCTTTCATCCTTAAAAATACCTAACCTCATTTAAACCCTTCAAGATTTACAAACCCTAATTCGAGCAATACGCTCACCCTAGTTTAATCTACACACTAATATTTTCAAATTATTTTCATAATTAAGTTATGAAAGTATCGAGCTCTTGGAGTCGCGCATTCCTTGAATTCGAGAATAATTACGATCAAGGTGTACACCTCGAACAGTATATTATTCGAACTTTTGTGTCTAAAATATCTCCATAATTATTTGAACAAGTATTCATTGTCCGGCAAACACTTTCGTAATTAATGGAATGAAAAAGAGGTCGTTGGAATCTAGCATTCCAGTAATATCCCGACTAATTGATTACGAGGCCGACGTCTCGTTTATCGAGTAGTCGTCATTCCTCCTAATTTTTCAACCCGCGTAACCTCATTTCTCACCTTCGAGTGATTGAATCAAAATCTCTTTCAATTCAAACTCTTTCGCGCATAAACCATCCATCAAACATATTTCGAATGAAAAAGGTATCGTTGGGATCAAGCATTCCAATTATGTCCCGATTGATTTGATTACGAGGCCGACGTCTCGTTTATCGAGTAGTCGTCATTCCTCCTAAATTTCCAACTCATCTAACCTCGTTCCTCGCCTTCGTGTGATCGAGTCTAAACCCTCGTATGCTTCTAAACCATACGTCGAATTCAAACCATGTTCTTAATTAAATTGTGAAAGAACTGAGTTCTTGGAGTCTCGCACTCCTTGAATTCTTGAGTAACCACTCTTAGGGCGTACGCTTTAGGTTGTGGTTCGCTCAACCTTTCGTTTATAAAACACGTGCCCTAACTACTTGGACCAATATTGTTATTGTCCATTCAAATACAATTTCACAATTAATTGAATGAAAAAGGTATCATTGGGATCTAGCATTCCAATGATATCCCGATTAATCGATTGCGAGACTGGCATCTCGTTTATCGAGTAGTCGTCATTCTCCCTTAAAATATTCAACCCTACTCTCTTCTCTCGCCCCCGCGCGATTGAAACTTTTCTCAAACATATTTCGTAGTTATTCGAATGAAAAAGGTGTCGTTGGAATCTAGCATTCCAATAATATCTCGGTTATTTGATTGCGAGGCCGACGTCTCGTTTATCGAATAGTCGTCATTCTCTATCAAATTACCTAACCAAACTCCTATTTCTTGCCCCGCGCGATCGAAACCTTAAACCTATTAAAATCTACTCTCCTTTTCTAAAACTAAAGCATCCAATGCGATAAACACAAATTCCTCGCCCTCGTGTGATTTCCAACCAAAACACCTTTCCCTAAGAACATTGTTTAGTCCCTTCTTCCGCGCATAACAAACTAGTGCTTCAGCCTCCCCTAGCGAGCAGACAAGCCAACGTTTAGCAGTTAGAAATGCAACCTAAACACTCGTTCACATACCAAACCCTTTAACCGTAGTTAGCCGAACTACGGCTACTCTGATTCTTCATTCCCTCTTGAATGTAAGATACGTAGGCACAAGATTGAGATGATCTTGGCGAGCACAATCCCCCCACCTTTACCCGTAGTCCCACGAACTACGATTGCTCTGATTTTCCACTTCTTACAAGTGAAGATACGTAGGCACAAGGGCCCAAATCCTTGGCGAGCACCCTATCCTATAACCATCCATTTTCCCCATAGGAGAAACCTTAGAAGAAAACACATAAGCGTAGTTAACTTTACTCTCGAATCGATCAAGAGGTTCCCGTTGAGTACAACGGACGTAGAGGGTGCTAATACCTTCCCTCTGCGTAACCGACTCCCGAACCTAGAATATTGGTTGCGATGACCATGTTCTTATCTCCTTAAAGGTTTTATCGATATTTTCCTATTCCATCCTTGGAATGAATAAAGTTCGGTGGCGACTCTGTTTCGAACAGTATTTTCCGCGGCCATCGCGAGGATCGTATTTTTCGAGGAACGACAGATGGCGACTCTGCTGGGGAATGTGCATTGCCCTATGCAAGAGAGAGTCGAGCCTAACTTGACTCGATTTGAGAGTGTTGACGTTTTTCTTAACCGATTTTTGTGTGCTTATTGTTTTTCTCTGTGCTTATATTCTCCTGTTTGTTTGTTTATTACTTCTTTCTTGCTATTATGTGTAATATATTATATTTGCTTGTTGGATTCTGGGAAAGTATCACAAGTAAAAGCTCTACACCCGAGCTTTAGAAAAAAGAAGAGAGAAAACATAGCTTAGAATTGGTAGTGATTAGTGTTAGTCCCCAGGGACTCGCTCCTTGTGTGCCTAGCATGAAAGCTCCTCCAGAATAGACCTTTTTCGTAGATCTTATCGTAACACGGCTAGCCTGTTGCACGATTTGATTCATGGAGGATCCGTGACTCTGGGAACCACTCTTAGAACTAGTTTCTATATTGGTAGTCATGTAGTGTTGGTCCCTGAGGACTCGCTTCTCGTGGGCCTGACATGAAGACTCCTCTCAAGAGAGATCTTTTGGTATTACCGTCATAATGCGGCTCTCCTGTTGCATGACGGTGGTATCATAGGTATCTATGACTTTGAGAACCCCGTCCGTCCACGTAGAAACTATCCCGTGAGTGGGTCATTTTGGGTAAAGAATTTAAAACTATCTTTATACCTATTAGGAGGGTGGGAGATACTTGTGATAACCAGGATCCCGCACTATTGCATTCATAAACATTTACATATGCATCATAACTGACACTCATTTTTATTTTCAGGGAAGCATTTATATTGGCAGGTTGAAATACATTCACAAAATGGCCGCAAGTTCAGAAAAGAGAAAGACTATTCAACTTAAGGCACTCAGACCTGATGTTAGTGTGGTCATGAACTGTTTGAAAGAAATGCCTACCATCTTCAAGAAGACTCTGATAGGAAGGTTTGGCCAGGTGACTGATCTGCTAATGATTAAAGTACAGGTCCCTGCTATTACGGCTTTAGCACAATTTTATGATCTGCAAATGAGAAGCTTCTTATTTCAAGATTTCTACTTAACACCTGCTATCGAAGAGTTCGAGGGGTTCTTAGGTTTCCCGGTCAAGGGTAGGGCACCTTATACTATGATAGGGCAGACTCCAGAAGTGGAAGAATTGGCTGATGCTCTCAAAATATCGATCTCAATAGCCAAGGCTGGTTGGAAGAAAAGAGAAGATTTCTTCGGTTTTAGAAGCATTGTACTAGAGAAA